CATCATTTTTCATTTCATATATCACTAGATCATTTTTTTTTTTGTGATGATCTCCCTGCACTTCATCTTCTTATATATATATATATATCACCTATTTTATCTCTTAAAAATTGATTAAAAATTATTTTAATAAAATTTTATTTAAAAAAATATTATTTTAAAATATTGTTTTTAAAAAATAATACGAATGAACACTCATCTCGTATATAATTTTTCCATGATAAAATTTTCTGAGTGCTTAACAGTCTTTGACTGTTAAAATTAAGTTTTCACATTCTTTTTTGATGGTACAAAGCAATGAGTATCCTCTTGGTAGGGGGGGATGGGAATCGAACCTCTAGCAGCAGGTGCATATATACCACATTACCACAAGAGAGCAAGTGGTCCAAGAACCATGTGAACCGGTAGGTGGATTGCAATTATGTTCTCATATTCGAGTCCTAGTTAAACTCGTATCCCTTAGCTTATTCTTAATTTTATCGTTTTATTTCGGGTTTATTTTTCGAGGTATCTAGTTCACATCCTAAGCATTCATAAATACTTCCTTCCCAGATTTATAATGCTAAGTCTATGGGTGGTCACCATGTTAAGTTTTTGGTAATTGATTAATTGAAGAATAACATTCATCTTTAGCAAGAAGGGAAAATGTGCTAGCTAGGCCAGGCCCAAGGGTAAACAAAGAATTAATTATTGAGTTATATATAATCAACTTACACTAACTTTACACTAATATAAGTACATCAATTCATTTTAAAATTTTACATAATAATTACTGCACTTTCTAAAAATTAGTGTAAAATTTTTTAAACTTACAATAGTATAAGTTGATCTATATCCTTAATTACTAGTTAGAATCACCATACATTTTTAGTCCAAATCATCAAAAGAATCAAGAAAATGACACTAAATGAAAGATAATTTAAATATTTTAATAGTAATCTCTTTTTATAAAAAAATAAAAAATTTTAAATTTGAGTCATGTGATATACAAGTAGAGTAAGGTAAGAAATAAGAAAAAATTATCTCTTATTATACAATTTAAAATTACAAAAAAAAAAAAGAAAAAAAACTCATGTTTAGGAAAAAAGAAAGGAGGAGAAAGCAAAGAGGAGAGATAAATAATGGCCAATTTTTCTAAATGCACCTGAAGTAGCCAAAAGGGGGAAATGGGTTGGAAATACAAGAAAATTTGCTGGGTTTAAGTCCATCTAATAGTCATAAAAATCTGCGGCAAATGAATGAGTCTTCATTTAGTGCAGCTGTAACTAATAGTCACTCCCAAGCGCTACAAAGTGCGCTGAATGGCTGATATGATGATTTTCTCTGTTTTAAAATGTGCTGTTGGGGAGGCGTCCTTCCCTTTCCACGTTTCTTCCACATTTGCTGAAGAAGAAGGAAGTTTTTTTAGCCTTTTCAGCTGTAAAACATTTAGCTGTCTAAGTGGTGGAATTTAGCCGCACCACATATCCGGTTTACTCTTGGTAAGTCGCAACTCCTCCTGCAATTTTCCCTAGTATCATAAAATCTTTCTTAATTTAATTACTAGTATTTTGCATATCTAGTATTTTACAATATGGTATGAAGGCAGAACTTTTAAATCTGTCCCTTGAATAGGAGGGTAGAGTTAAATCTGTCTATAAAAAAAATAATAAGGGAATAATTGTCCTTTTAAATTATTGATTAAAAAAATACTTATTATTTAATATGTGATGCCATCGTACGTAAGAAATCTGTTTATCATCTAAGTATTTTTTAACGAAACTTTGATGATAACGTTGTCATATATTAAATAATAAATGATTTATTTTAATCTATAATTTAAAAAGATAATTTTTTTTAATATTTTTTCGAGAAATAATTTTGTCTCTATCCTTTTATTTAAGGAATAGATTTAATAGTTTTGCATAAATATAAACATGCACAACACAGACTCTATATATATATTGTCTTTGTTTTCTTCTCCTAGTTCTTTATAAATGGAAGTGGAAGGTTAGGGAATCCAATCGAGCATGGTTAATGTTGAAAGTTGAATTGTGTGGGGATTTCATGATCCTTTATTTATTTATTTAAAGAAAATGAAAATGAAAGTTGAATAAAAGCTTTCAATTTAAATTCTTAGATCTGATCTGAGCCTCAGCAAACCCAAACAAAATAAAAGCAGATGGGCCCAAAATAGTCCAGGAATACCATACCAGCCCAGCCCAAGCAAAATCAAGTGGATTGTGAAATTTCACCTCTGATATTTTCCGACGAGTGGCGGGTAATCCTCCCCGAATTTTTTATTTTTCTTCCCAAAGCTAAAAACCAGAAAGCTCAGACTCAATCGAAACATAATCTCAAAAGATCTTACCACAATACAGCGAACAAACGGTTTCCATTGAAGCTTTGAGAGGTGGGTTTTTGTCGCAGTAGCTATGGCTCTTCAAGCCACTTCCTTTAATCTTGGAGTCGTTTTTTCTGTATGCTGCACCCCCGGAAAGGCATCCACCCACCGCTATCGCCACCGCTCTCTGATCCGAGCACAGGGTAAAGTTTCCGTTCCCTCGTCCTTTTTCCATATTCTTTTGAGTTTCGGCTTTTCTGATTGGGATTTCATGATGGGTATGACGAATTTGAGTTGGGTTTTCCTCTCTTTTTTTCTTTTTTTTTGGGTGGTTCAGTGGAACCGTCGGAGAAGTCTGTGGAAATAATGAGGAAATTCTCGGAGCAGTATGCTCGTAAGTCAGGAACGTATTTCTGCATGGATAAGGGAGTCACTTCTGTTGTCATCAAGGTACTTCTTTGGTAGTGCTTAGTGTGACTTTAACTGCATAGCTCATTTCTCATGTTGATTTCTGTTCATATTCTGAGAATGGTGACATAGGGGTCGGCACCCTGTTAATTTCTAGTCAGAGTAAGTATTGCTCTTTGAATGGTGAATCAGAAAGGGTTTGTCCTTTAGCTATTATGTTTGTGGGGCACCTTCAATATACACAGATATTAATCACATCTAAGGGTTTTCAAATGTTACAGATTTAAAACATCTATATGTCAAAACTTTTCTGGTGATTCCCCTTAAAGGGTGAATAAGGGTACTTTGATTGAAGAAATAGTACTTACTGCAGCTAGACTTAAGAACTTTATGTTGCTATTGTTTATTGTTTCAAGTTTTCCTTGTATGGCTTGTATTTATTTCACCAAGTATCTAGGCTTAAGCTTGAGGTTATTTCCTTCTTTAATTTATATCTCGAACACATAAACATTTGATTCTTAATGTATCTCTCTTGCACTTGGCAAGAATGTGGATTCTTCCACCACATGGTATGTAAACCATCTTTGGAAATTTTAATGTCTTGGTTTTGATTTCTGTGCTGAATCTATCTTGGTTGTTTATCCATTCGGTTGAGCTAAATGTAACAGAAATACTAAACTCCTTATTGTTATAAAAAGAAAGAAAACTCATTATGAAGACTTTTATCAGGGATTAGCGGAACATAAGGATACATTAGGAGCACCACTCTGCCCCTGCAGGTATAAATTCCATCTCTTTGGTCTGGGATTGTTTATCTTCCTTAAATATCTCCTGACCATTTGTTACGAGTGCATAATTGAGTGCATAATTGAGTGCATAGAATAAACAATAAAGTTTAGATTTTTAGTATCACATGTATGCTGTACTAACTAACTGTATTAACTAATTTAGTTTGGATCCATCAATACAGGCATTATGATGACAAAGCCGCTGAGGTAGGGCAGGGTTTTTGGAATTGTCCTTGTGTTCCCATGAGGGAAAGGTAGATGTGTTGCCACAACTGTTGTTTACTCCATAATCTTTTAAACGTTCTAAATGCCTTGCTAGGATATTCAGTGAATTGTTTTTCTAAATTTTGTGAAGCATCATAAAGGGCTTCTAAAGATGTGCTGGTTTTGCAGTACAAAGAAAGGATATTGTTTGCATTGAGGCTAGTGCTAGATGAATGAATATCATTTTAGCTGCTAAGAGAAAGATGACATGGGATTTTCTTACATGTCAAGTTGTCAACTGTTGGATAAGCTACTATATAAAATGTGTTGCATCCTTTACAGAATGTAGTGTTGCAGATTTTAAGTTGAGCATTTTACAGAGCCCCTAAAGGACACAACCGTAAAGAGTTTTCTTGCAAATGATAGCATTATGTAACTACGCTGGTAAAGTAGAGATGGGATAGGAACGCTGAAGAAATTACAATTGCATCTTTCTTTATGAAAGTTTGGAAAATAGGGCTTATTTATTTATATGAGTTTCATTATGTCAGGTGGACTTATTTTATTTATATATTTATTTTTTGGTGGGCTCTTTGTTTAGGAAATAGGAACCTTGAAAATCAATGCTAAGAAGGTTTATAGAACTAGGATTTGTTTTTTAAAGGTTATTATGAATTGGTTTTTTTATTTCTCTTTCCTCTTTCATCATATTCCCATTCCCTTGTCATCTTATTCATTCGGTTCTTTCCTCCCCCCTTCTCTGTCGCTCTAATTTTCTTCATAATGCCAATCCTATTAGCAGTCTGAAAACCTGCTGACTCTTTCATAGATGTTGTATCAATATCATGAATGTGCCCGAAGTTCTCAATTCTTTGATTGTATTTATGTTTCAGGAAGGAGTGTCACTGCATGCTTTTCCTTACACCAGATAATGATTTTGCTGGAAAAGACCAGGTAATTCTAGAACACTTGTCAAATCTATAGCTGGTATCTGCAGAATAGAATCAATAAATTGCTGCAATTCAACAACATCCAGTGAATGTTTATGATAATCATACCAAATCTAGTTCTTGTCAACTTTTGAAGAATATTAGCTTGAACTATTGGCAGTCAGTCATCAACTCCCTATTTCATTGTGTTTTTTGTGAAACGTCTGACTTTGCTTTTATAAGTTGGAAGATTCCAACGGCTAAAAGTAAAACACTATCTTCTAACGGCTAAAACATTTACATCATTAAAGTTTTTTCTTGACTTTGATTATAATAAAGTACAAATGTTTCGTCTCCATGCAGGCCATTACGTTGGAAGAAATCAAGGAGACTACAGCGAACGTGTAATGCTTGATGTATTCAATATTTCAACAGCACTCCTTTTAACAGCCATCACTTGTATATGGCCCGAGATGAAAATTAACAGCAACAAATTATAATTCAGAAGGGTATTGTTGGTACCGTACGCCAGTGGATATATATATAT